AGAGGGAAAGCTGAACCTAGATGGGGAATGACCTTTCAGTGGCTGCACAAGGTCATGTGGTTACAGGACACTTAACACAGAGGGCCTCCTTCTCTTCCCCGATTATTAGAAACATCTCTATGTGGTGAACACAGAACACACGTCATTATGTCTATTATCTGCTGGATCTGGTCAGGTGGGACTTGGATCACAGGATGCCTTAGAGCAGAGGGCAGATGGACCTCTCCTGACAGCAGCAGTGATGGTGAAGCACGCTCTCAGGCAGCATGTACAGATCCAGAGGAAGGAGACCAGGGAGAGGAAGAGGGAGCTGTGCTCATATCACTTCTGAAGTAGCAGCAGCAGAGCCCATGTGTGAGGGAGGAGTCGGGCTGTGGCACAAGAGGGAGAAGGGAACTGAGGAAGCTGATCTGGGATCAGGAAGGTGGGGTCGTCCCTGCCTTGCTTCCTCCACTCCTCTGAAATCAGCTTCCCACTGATCACAAACTTGAACACCATTTGATTCAGGAAAAGAGATTCCTCTCAGAAGCACAAGGACCAGAAAGATTTTGGGCTTTGTCTCACTCATCATAAAGGACAGGGACCTCCCATATGCAAATTAGTCTTCAAAATCTAAATAAAAGTCCCCTCTTGGGTTCCTGGGGCTCACCGCTCCTTCCTCAGACACGGCTAAGATCTCTGGAGAAGGCAAAGGTGCGGTCTAGAATATGAGACTCCTGGGTCTTCTCCTGTGCCTGGTGGCAGGTCCCCATGGTGAGTGTCCTTATTGTCAGACATGGGTCCACGGGAAGATTCTGAAAGCAGACGGCTGATGGAAAGTGTTTCCTTGTTCCCAGGTGTCCTGTCCCAGGTGCAGGTGCAGCTGCAGGAGTCCGGACCCGGCCTGGTCAAGCCCTCACAGCCCCTGACCCTCACCTGCACGGTCTCCGGTGTCTCCATCACCACTAGTTACTACTACTGGAGCTGGATCCGTCAGCCACCAGGAAAGAGCCTGGAGTGGATGGGGTACATAAGCTACAGTGGTAGCACTAGCTACAACCCATCCCTGCAGAGCCGCATCTCCATCTCCACAGCCAGTAACCAGTTCTCGCTGCAGCTGAACTCGGTCACCACGGCCGACACGGCCACATATTA